CATCTTAATGTTCTTGATTTGCTCAAATGTTCTCTCATCAATTGCATCATGACTTGCACTTAGAGCAATGTCATTATTTTGGAGAAGCACTTCTTCGGCCACGGTGGGATTCTCCAGATCGGTAATCTCAATTTTAGGTTCTACCACCTTCCACACCTTTTCTATTGATTGACTTGATAATGTGGTCATCTTTGACTTCCAATATGGATAATTTATGCCATCAAATTAGGGGTGGTTTCTTGGTGTTGTTGATTTGAGCCATTTTGACACCAAAGGTTGTTAAGCCTCAAATCACGATGATCACGGCTCTGATATCACTTGAAAGGACCTAATAGCTAGAGGGGGTGAATAGTCTATTAAAATTTTCTACAACAATACTTAGCAAACCGGTTAGACAAATATGAGGCGAAGCGAGTGTTGCGCTAGCCTACTAAAAATGCAAGCCACCTACCACAATTCTAGTTTCTATAGTCTCTATCCACACAATGGCTATGTCACTACACCAAGTTAGTGTGCTCTCAAAGGCTAACTAAAGAGTCACACTAACCAAACTAACAAGCTCTCACGACTAGCTACACTAAAGAGCTTGACAACTAGTTTGTGGTAATGTAAAGAGAGAGAGAGAGAGAGAGCAAGATGGTTATACCGTAGAGTCAAGGAATGAACCAATCAATCACTAGAATGAATACCAATGAAGACCAATCACCTCAGAATCAAATGATGACACAATAATTTTCTCACCAAGGTTCACTTGCTTGCTGGCAAGCTAGTCCACATTGTGGCGATTCACTCACTTGGAGGTTCACGAGCTAATTGGCATCACACGCCAAACCCTCAATAGGGTGTCGCACAACCAATACAAGATGAGGATCACACAAGCCACGAGCAATCCACTAGAGTACCTTTTGGCTCTCCGCCGGGGAAAGGTCAAGAACCCCTCACAATCACCACGATCGGAGCCAGAGACAATCACCAGCCTCCGCTCGACGATCCTCGCTGCTCCAAGCCGTCTAGGTGGCGGCAACCACCAAGAGTAACAAATGAATCCCGTAGTGAAACACGAACACCAAGTGCCTTTAGATGCAACCACTCAAGCAATGCACTTGAATTCTCTCTCAATCTCACAAAGATGATGAATCAATGATGGAGATGAGTAAGAGGGCTTTGGCTAAGCTCACAAGGTTGCTATGTCAATGTAAATGACCAAGAGAGTGAGCTTGAGCCGGCCATGGGGCTTAAATAGAGGCCCCCTCGAAATAGAGATGTTGGCTCTCTGCCCTCAGCTTTCACGGGGCGACCGGATGCACAGGTCACGCTGACCGGACGTAGGCCCCCAGCATCCGATCATGGATCTTCGTCCACGTGTCCTCTGGATTCAACGTTAGCCGCCTGATCCCAATGGTCGATTCTTAGTGCCCTCGTGGTTAAGTGATGACCGGACGCGCCCTACACGGGATTGGACGCGCCGGTGCCAGCCTTGCCCACGCGTGGTAACACACGACCGGACGCGTCGATCAACCGTGGTGCCCACGCATCAGGTCGTTTCTAGAGAGCTCCCCGAGCGCCTAAACGCTGACCTGACGCGTCTGATCTCCACTGACCGGACTCGCCCAGAGTTAGGTCTTCTCCACGCTCACTCAAACCTCATACGTCAGCGTATGTCAGCCTGACCGGACGCACCAGCATCGAGTCAGGTCACCTTTTACCCCAGCGTCCGGTCATGCACCAGACAGAGGCCGAGCGCGCCAAACTTCATTTTACAATTGACCGGACGCAACACCTCTGAGTCTAGTCACCACGTGACCTACGTCCGGTCACTGTTTCTCAGTGAAAATTATCTCCTTCACTTCACCAACTTTTCCACCCTTGCTCAAATAGGCCAACCACTAAGTGTATCACCTTGTGAACGTGTGTTAGCATATTTTCACAAACATTTTCAAGGGTGTTAGCACTCCACTAGATCTTAGATGCATATGCAATGAGTTAGAGCATCTATTGGTACTTTGATAACCGTATTTTGATACGAGTTTCACCCCTCTTAATAGTACTACTATCGATCCTAAATGTGATCACACTCGCTAAGTGTCTTGATCACCGAAATAAAATGGCTCCTACCACTTATACCTTTGCCTTGAGCCTTTTGTTTTTCTCTTTCTTCTTTTCCAAGTCCAAGCACTTGATCATCACCATGGTCACACCATCATCATGATCTTCACTATTGCTCCACCACTTGGAATAGTGCTACCTATCTCATGATCACTTAGATAAACTAGGTTAGCACATAAGGTTTCATCAATTCACAAAAAAAAAAAACAAACTAGAGCCTTCACCCTCAGGCAAATGTAAATTCAACACAATTTGAGCGTACTGCAGCCAACGACACAAATTTTCAAGGAGTCTGGGCAAAGTATTCCAACAGCTCAAACAAGTGCTACTGCAATTGATGTTGAGGAAGGTGTAGAGGTCCTATCTACACCATAGGAGTCTTTTCGTGGAATGAGCTTTGAGTCCTCAACAGCTGCAAAAGACTACTACAACACTTATGCTCGGCGCACAGGTTTCTCGATCAGGGTTGTTTAGATGCCACATCTCGAGAACTCTCTCTCTATCAATCAATTTTAGGGAGTATTAAATGTAGGTAAAAAAATAACTAATTAAGAGCAAGTTGGAAATCACATGAATTTTTGAGCCTTTGTCAGATTGGCTATTTGTCAAATAAGACGAAAAGTGAATTCAAGAAGCTAAAATCTAAACGAGGACGAAGATGAGAATCAAAGAAGGATAGTATGAAGAGCAAGTACATATTTGTTTGTCAGAAGGCTGGTGTGAACAAGAAGCTAAAAAAGGACGAAGATGGGCCCATAACTGAGAAGAAGATAGTCAAACAAAGAAACATGCCTAGATCAAAAAGAGCAAAGGGTGTACAACTACGTTCAACAAATAAGCAGCCTTGTGGATACTGTAGAAGCACATAACATACTACTACGCGTTGTCTATCAAAATCAGCAAAGAAGTATACAAGAACTAAAAGAGAAGCAAGATTAGGAAGCAAATATATAAAAAGCTACTTAATATAGTGGAATTTTTTGTGTACTCGATATATGAATTTGTTACTTGGTGTAATTTATTAGTGAGCAGAAAATTACGTTGGTGTACTTGATAATATTGATTGGTGCAAGTTACATTGAACTATCTGGAGCAAGTTATTCTATATGCCTGTTGCAAGTTATATGCTTTATGAGTAACATATTATGGCTAAATGTATCGTAAGTATTTCGCATGTACATGCAAATTGTACCACTAAATAGTTGCATGCAGATCGCGTGAAAAAGCTCAAAGAAAAACATGATGGGTTTCACCCCCATGTAACAAATAATATTGCTTGGTGCAAGTTACGTTGAACTATCTGGAGCAAGTTATTGTATATGCCTGTTGCAAGTTATATGCTTTATGTGTAACATATTATGGATGATGAAACGTAAGTATTTCGCATGTACATGTAAATTGTACAACTAATTGTTGCATGCAGGTCGCATGAAAAAGCTCATAGAAACGCTGAATTTCAGAATGAAATGGTGTGAGCAAGATTCATAGGCTGCAAAAAGCTTTACCAAGCACACAACCACCTATTCTGGATCCATTCCACAACTTCTCCAGAACTCAAAGAGCTCTTGTAGAGCTAGATCTCCCCTGTAACCTTCTAGATGTTGAGGTGCCAAACTATTCCAACAGTTAACACAATTAGGTTTTCTGTAATTGGAAAAATGATCGGCTTTGTGGTGGCGTTGCAGAGTGAAGTTGCCACTCAAGGCACACAGCATCCACCAAAAACCGTTGATGCAATAATATGTTGATAAAAAAGATTCTCATTAATCAGAAAGATAAAAACACTTCATTTTACATCTGGAATAAAGACCCTTGACATCCACAAAAGGAACGAAAAAAAATTAGCCATCATATCGATTGAAGCCAAGTACCAAGTAGAACAACAACAACAACAACAAAAAGCCTTTAAGTCACAAACAAGTTAGGGATAGGCTAGAGTTGAAACCCAACAGAAGCGATAAAGGTTCAGGCACGTGAATAGCTGTTTTCCAAGCACTCCTATCTAAGGCTAAGTCTTTAGGTATATTCCATCCTTTCAAGTCTTCTTTTATTGCCTCTACCCAAGTCAATTTCGGTCTTTCCTTTACCTCTCTTCACGTTAATATCCTGGCTTAAGATTCCACTACGCACTGGTGCCTCTAGAGATCTCCGTTGGACATGTCCAAACCATCTTAACCGGTGTTGGAAAAGCTTTTCTTCAATTGGTGCTACCCCTAATCTATCACGTATATCATCGTTCCATCATGGAAAATAGTAAAGCTTTGTAAAATCATGCACACTTAAATTTAAATTTGAAAAGCCTCAATAAATAACTGAACAAAGGGCTTCAAGTTCTTGAATTTTCAAATGTTACATGTAAGTAGCACATTACAACTTTCCTCATAGCAAGTTGCATGACCATCACAGCAACTTCTAAAAAAGTATCCATCACAATACTGAAAATCGCGAAATCCTATGTCACAAAACATCCCACCAGAACATAGCTGGGGAAAACATCAGGTTCGAGACCTAGTAGCATTCTAGACTAAACAGCTCTAGATCAAACCAACAAGCGATCCAAACTGGCACAGATTCTTCAATAAACTCCCAGCCGTCGGATCGCTGACTCGTCTCTCAGCTCAAACATAACTGGATTGTTATCCAAAAAAGGGTACTGGTCAAGCTCATCATAGGTAAGGTCTTCAGCCATCTTTGCTTTATCATCTGAATGGAAAAATCACAAGCTACATGCAATCAAAACAGAAATATCACCAAACAGGAAAAACTGAAATATTTTGAATCGAAGAGTAAACACAAAGAGAAAAAAAGCAACTGGAGGATAGAAACACTTAGCAAGTACAGCAGGTAAAAAAAGGAAGGGACCTACCAACTGAACTAAATATACTGATGGGATCCTACTTGAATAGTCGAGGATCAAGGTCCTGCACAAAACAAAAACAAAAACAAAAACAAATAATTAGAAGGAAAATGGATAACAATAGGAAGAAATTAATTAAGGACAAAAGAGAACCAATGAATACCTGCTCATAGAAGAAATTTACTAAAGCCTTGTCAACTAAATTAGTTGGGCTGGAAAATACTGAATTCGCAAGCTTCACTCTTATATTTTCTATATCAGAAAAGTCAAATGCCCACCTGACATCAATGGTGACATCCCACCTCTCAAAAAACATCACAGAGAAGATCCCACAATCATTACTGCAGTGGGAGAAAGAAAAAATTCAAAAAATATAAAACATATACACATGAAAAAAAGCTATAAAGGGCGTACCTAGTGCAGAGAGCTCCCGCTCTGTGCGGGGTCTGGGAAAGGGTATCAGTGGCAAACCTTACCCTCGCCTGTGCAATGCGAGGAGACCACGACTCGAACCTGGGACCTTCCGGTCAGAGGCGGTAAGACTTTACCGCTTGCACCAGGCCCGCCCTTCACATGAAAAAAAGCTATCTATGAACAAAAAGAGATAAAGCATTATTAAAACTTACAGGTTTCTTTGTTTGGATATTAGTGGGTACAAAATTTGAAACTGATCTAGATCTAGCTTAACTTCGGCATACTCGTACCAACATTGCTTAAATGAAGTGAACTGACATAGCTAAGAAATGAAATGAAAGCAAACTGGACCTGAACTTATAATTAACTAACACTGTAACTAAAATGAAATAATAATGAAACTGAAAACAAAAACAAAAATGAAAAGTAAATGAAACTGAAAGTTCATTAAGACAAATTAAACTGAAAACAAAATGAAAACAGCATATAACAGGGTTACTTTAGAAGTTAAAAAAATGAAAAGAAAATGAAACTGAAAGCTCATTAAGAAAAAGCAAAATGAAAGAAAACTTTAGAAGCTAAAAACAAAAAAGAAAGGAAACTAAAACTGACTTATAATGAAATAATACTGTAACTAAAATGAAAGATAACTGAAACTGAAAGAAAAATGAAACTAAAAGCAAAACTCTAAGAACTGAACTAGGACTAAACAAAAGTGAAAGCTAAATGAAACAAAAGTTCAAAAGTTCAAAAAGAAAAATGAAAGGAAAAAGAAACTGAAAGCTCATTAAAAAAATAAAACTGAAAGCAAAATGAAAGAAAACTTTAAAAGTTAAAAACATAAATGAAAGGTAACTCAAACTGAAATTTCATTATGGAAAATGAAACTAAAAGCAAAATGAAAACTGCATATAACACGCCATACTTAATAAGCTAAAAAAAGAAAATGATAGCTGAAATTGCAAAAACTGAAAGTACTAACTCATATAAGAAAATGAAAACACACAAAGAAATTAAAAAATGAAATTGCTAACTACAATTGAAGACTGATATTGGAAACATAATATACAGGAGTCGGAAATAGCTAACACATAAATTAATAACTAAAATAAAACTGAACCTCAACAAAGAAGAAACAATTGGTGTGTGCTCAATGTGAAATGCAACAACTGCAGCAAACAAATGAACAAAAAAAGGTGACTGCTATAAAGAAAAGAAAGATATCTATGTCACAGTATGACTTACAAAACAAGGTAACCAAAAAGGTTGTACCTAGTTTCTATTTATTTGGAGAGAAAAAGATACTTAAAAATAGGAAAAGTCTCGATAGAAAACAAGGTAACCAAAAGACTAAAAATAGGAATTTCCACCAAACAAAGTTATTGTATCGACAAGAGCAACATAAAAAAGCCATGATGCAGAGTTGTTCAACTAGAAAAAAAAATATAGAGCACAAAAGTAGAACTCTAGTTACAAGCATATGAAAGGACATATGCAAGGGAATTTCCTCTTGTATCTACTAATTTACAACCAAAATTCTGGTGGTGTTGCCATATCTTCCCCATAAACACTAATAAAAGTCCGGCACTAGGTTGGAGCGGAAGGTGCAGGGTAGTTATAATACCAAACTTGCAGAATTCTTTTTTTTACTAATAGCCTAATTCCATGTAGTTGGTTAACCAAACTATTCTGTTTTTTTGGTGCACATCCAAATTTAAATTCCTCTAAGAGTCCTAACACAAAACTGGTATATCCTCCCCACTGTCCATCCAAAACCATGTATCATTATTGATCAAAGATAGTTCATTGCTAATAATACTGAGCAGAGCAAGCCTACCTAAAAAAGGTAAGTTTTAACTTCCCAGATTTTCTACACTCCAAAACTAGTCGAAAGAGGCTAAAGGTGATGGATAGATGCACACCTTCATATAATGCTAGCAAGAATAATTAAAATTTAAAATCTAACGAAAATGTAATGTCAATAGCAATTGAGTAGCTTGCCGCAACAAAAGACAACTCAATGAAGTTTCATTATTAAGTAACTTGACACAAACAGATAATGTAAATTGCTACAAAATAAAAGTAGTACTCACATCGGTCGTCAATGAAGAAGAATTGCAGCGGACGCCAGAGCAGATGGAGGAAGAAGGAGTTGCTACGGAGCTGGATGGACGCTAAAGGAACCGCGGATGGCAGCTGCAAAGAGACCCAACCACATCGGCGCAGATGCAAAAAAAAAGGAACGACACGCGGCAAAAGAGAGCGGAAAACAGCAAAAACCTTCAATAACAATCGAAAGCAGCTCCTCCGTCGTAGCCCGCCGCACCTACCGCTCCTCCTCCATCGTCGCTCGCCGCAAACTCCCGAAGAAGCCTGCAGGAGCCAAACCATGTCGAATCAGATGCAGAAAGAAGAAAAGGGATCTGGACGCGCGGCAGAGTGAGCGGAGCACTTGCTCAGTCGTCCCCCGCTGCAACCTACCCCGCCACCGCTCGCCGGCTGGGGTTCCGACAATGAGACGGATTCGTCGCCACCCGCGGCTGCGCTGCCTGAACGAAAGGGAGCGGAAGAGAAAGCGTTGGGTGCTCGCTCGGGAAGGGAAGGCAGGCCGCAGCGCGTTGGATGTGGGGAGGGGGAGCGCGGTCTGCTGGGCCGGCCCGTCGCGGCCTGGTGTCGCGCGCTCCGCGCCGAGCGCGACCGGTAGCGCGTTAGACTTTGCGTTTTCTTTTGAGGGGAAAAAACTCTGCCTTTGATGATCGTACCAATCGCCAATTTACCAAACTCTTGTCACGGCCCATGGTTAAAACTGGGACTAAAACACAACTGGGCCTACATAATAAATGGGCCTCATTTGATGAGGCCGACGACCACCAAGGCCTGGAAGGTCCACATTTGCGGAGGCCACACGCGACGAGGCCCCCCGACGATTTTCCGGCCCATTGGACCGCTACGAGCCTACGACGGAGGAGCGAAACGCGCAGGACAGGCCGTACGGTGTCCGGCGAATGGCGGCGATGGGCGGGAGCGGCGGGGGCGACGACGACGCGGCGGAGGGCGAAGGAGCCGGGTTCCAGTGGGATGCCGACTCCCAGCTCTACTACCACGCCAGGTAACTGCTTCGTTTCTCGCTACGTGCTCCAGCGTTCCGCTGATTGGGCGCCGCAGACGGTCGCTTCTGGTGGCCCGGGATTTCCCGCGACCCGTTCCGTTAGTGCGTGCGGTTTCAGTTCTCCTCACGGTGCGAGCTGATGCGTGAACATGATCGTTTTGGTAGAAAGCGGGTAGAAACTTGTGATGGCCACACATGAAAGGAAGCTGCAGATTTAGGGTGTCCGGTTGCCGCTTGAGTGCGTACCTGTTATGTTTTCTTTTCTGTTCAATTGATTGATGGTTGGTTCTCTCGCGTAGTTGTGATTTTCTCTTGAATATATGCCTCTATCTGTACTGATTTGGGGTTCAGTTGTCTCAGTTGTGGATATCATATGCTGCTGTTGGCTCGAAAAGCACTGGCTCCGATGTCAGAGAATGTTGTCTAGAAAGAACATGGGGATTTTTTTGGTTGCACTATATGTTTGCCTTGTACACCTGTACATGCTACTGGAGAAATCTGTGAGATGTAGTGGGTGTTGGGTTCTGTGTATCGAGCAGTTTGACAGTCATATGGGTTATGCTTTAAGATATCATCATAATCTCACGCATGTTCTTTTTGACCGATCAAATGCAATTATCCTTCTATCTGTTCCTCGAGGTATTTAGAGGTTCGATGAAATTGATGCTCACTTTGTTCTTACTTGTTTGACTGTTGAGTTCGTGCAAAATGCTGTTCAACTGAACATATTCAAAAGATTATAATTAAGGATATTAGGATATGTATATATCAGGATCATTAGAGAGATCTCCTAGATAGGCTAGTTACTATGTATAGCCTAGCTTCCTGTATTTGTACCTCCCATGTGTGTATCTTCCATGTGTGCCTAATTGGCAATATATATGAAAGGCTCCCCACCCACATTGGGTGTGTGGTGATTCTCTCCATTCTACATGGTATTAGAGAACTAGTTCCCTTTCTCCCTCCCTCCCGCACCTTTTCTCCCTCCCTCCCGCACCTGTTCTTCATCCGGCCCTCTCCCAAGGCCCACCATGTCGACCTCCTCTGCAACCAGTGCATCCCACTCCTCTGGAACCCTGGCGGCTGCGGACTCCTTCTCCACCCCCGCCATCCTCGTCGCCCCCTACGCGACGATCTCCGTCAAATCTCACGTCCCGGTGACCTTGGAGCTGGCACCCACCCCAACTTCACCAATGGTCGCCGTTCTTCACCTCTCCTCTCAGGAAAATTCGCCTCCTCCGACGCGTCGGCGACACGGCGGCGGCCAGACTAATCGACCTGCTTGGGCCATTGCGGACTCCACAGTGTTCAGAATGGATCTCTCGGACTTGTCGGGACCGACGTCCTCGGCCTTCTGCGGCCGGACCAGGACACGCATGCATGAAGCTATGGGTCGCCATCAAGCGCCTCTTGAGGCCAACAAGGCCTCACAGCGCCATCTTCCCGAGTCATCAGTTCCACTCCATGACCTAGGGCGACTCCTCCATCGACGACTACTGCCAGCAGATGAAGGCCACCGCCGATGCGCTCCTCGACGTCGGCCGTACCATCACCGAATCGGAGCTTGTCCTCAATCTCCTGCGCGGCCTCAATCCTCGCTTCACGGCAGCCTTCGCCGACAACATCGCCGACTTCGAACCATTGCTGCGGACTTCGCCACCACTCGCGAAGCTTCGTCCTCAAGGAGCTTCGTCTTGCCAACGAGGGCACTATCGCCGCCAAACGGCGTTCCACGCCGTCTTGATTCAAAGATGCCGCTTCGACCTCCGGCACCGCGGGTAGCGGCTCCTCTGCTGGAGGCCAGGGAGGCCACGGCGGCGGCGGCGGCGCTACTGATGGCGGCGGCGGCGGCCGGCGCCAGCGAGCAGAAGAAGAAGAAGGACGGCACGACAAGCGGCGGCGACAGCAGCAGCGGCGGCGGCTTCGGTCCGGGCGCGCCCATGGGTCTCCCACACCGCCAAACCGGCCCTCGGTATTCTTCGCCCCACGGCGGCGGGCAGCGGCGTGATGGCGCCCACCGCCGAACCCGGCCTGGCGGGGCCCCGGTGTCCTCGGCTCCTACCCTCAGGCCCACACCGCCTTCGCCCCCGCCCAACTCTCCGCCAGTCCGACCTCTCCTCCTCTGCAGCAGAACGGCGGCTGGGATCAGACCGGCCTCGTCGCTGCCCTCAACCAGATGTCCCTCCAGGGGTCCAACCCCTGGGTCCTCGACACCGGTGCCACAACCCACATGTCTCCCTCGGATGGTATACTTCTGTCCCCTCTCCCCCCTCCTTCCTCTGGCATCACGGTTGGCAACGGCAGCACCATTCCTATCACATGCCGTGGCACCGCCACATAGTCGAGTTTATTGCCTACGCTCAAACACAATTTGGCGCCACCCCCAAATCATTCCAAGCTGATAATGGGACCGAGTTCGTTAACCATGCTACCACCTCCTTCCTCGCCAGCAATGGCATTACGCTCCGCCTCTCGTGTCCTTATACCTCTCCTCAAAATGGCAAGGCTGAACGCATGCTTCGCACCACAAACAACACCATCCGCACCATGCTCCTTCATGCGTCCATGCCACCGCCCTACTGGGCTGAGGCCCTTGCCACTACCACTTTCCTCCTCAATAGGCGACCCTCCTCCTCCATCCAAAATCATATACCCTATCAGCTTCTTCACAACAATCTCCCAGACTATTCCTCGCTTCGAGTTTTCGGCTACCTCTGCTATCCAAACCTCACTGCCACCTCCCCCCACAAACTAGCCCCTTGTTCAGCACCCTGTGTCTTCCTAGGATACCTGTCCTCTCACAAGGGATATCGCTGCCTCGACATGTCCACTCGGCGCATCATCATCTCTCGCCATGTTATTTTTGATGAGTTGGTATTCCCATTCTCGGCAGCACCATCGGCGGCATCCATGCCGTCTTCACTTGACTTCCTGATGCAGGGACTATCCTCCTCGACGACCCCTGCGACCACCGCTCCGCTGCTCGCTGGCCCCACGGTTTCCACCTCCAGCGTGGACGACTCCTCGGAGCTCCTGGACCCGGGTATCCTCCAGCTGGGCCCCCTGGCTACCCCTGCAGCGGAGCCCCCACTCATCCTCCCAAGGTCCTGGCTGGCGGCCAGCCTTGGCGTTGTCTACACTCGCCGTGCCCGGCCTCCTGCAGCGCCGACAGACTAGGTAGCGCGCTCCTGTGGCGCGGCGGAATGGCCTCTTTGCACCTCCAAAGACTGCTGGTGGCCACTCTTGCACCTCCAAAGAAGACCGGTGTGCCCCAACAAGGCCTCCGCAGCTCCTCGGGCTGCTCTCGCGACATCGCACGCTTGAGACCGGCGACCTCCGCGACCGTCGAAGCGCTTGATTCTCCGCCTCCGTTGCCTCGCCCTCCCGGCGAACTATTGCGATCGCGCCGCCGATCCTAATTGGCGCGCTGCGATGGCGGAAGAGCACAAGGCGCTGATCGACAATGGCACTTGGCGCCTCGTCCCTCGCCCGCCTGGTGCGAACATCATCACTGGAAAGTGGCTGTTCAAGCACAAGTTTCACTCCAACGGCTCCTCGCGCCGCAAGACAAGGCGCTACTGGTCGTCCGCGCTTCTCCCGGCCGAGCCGCATCGACTACGACGAGACATTCAGTCCGGTGGTCAAGCCGGCCACGATCCGCACTGTCCTAAGCATTGTTGTATCCCGGGAGTGGCCCATCCGCCAGCTCGACGTGAAGAACGCCTTCCTCCACGGTCACCTCGAGGAGACGGTCTCATCGCGAAAGCAAATTGTCCGGCTTCGTCGACCCCGCCCGCGACTCAGTATGCTTGTTGCAAAAGTCCTTGTATGGACTCAAGCAGGCGCCGCGAGCTTGGAACCAGCGCTTCGCCAACTTCATCTGCAACATCGGCTTCACCGCCTCCAAGTCCGATGCCTCCCTGTTCGTCTACAAGGTTGGCGACGAGCTGACCTACCTCCTCCTCTACGTCGATGACATCATAGTCACCGCATCGTCTCTGGCCCTTCTACAGCACGTCATCGAGCGACTCCGCTCGGAGTTCGCCATGACGGACCTCGGCGACCTACACCACTTCCTCGGCATCTCAGTGACCAGGGACAGCAGCGGCCTCTTCCTCTCCCAGCGGCAGTACGCTGTGGATCTTCTCCAGCGTGCCGGCATGTCTGAGTGCCACCCGACAACTACCCCTGTGGATGCCCGGACCAAGCTGTCCGCCACAGAGGGCGCCCCGGTC